ACTTTGTACTGCTCATTGTCTTTGTAAAACCTCAGAACTCTTAACTCTTGTAAAATATCAGTTATGTAATAAAAAACTATAAGAAAAAAGTTTCCTAATCAATGTGAAATTTATTTGTTTTGCTATCTGTGCCCTAAACGGTTAATGTTCRGTTGGGGTGGAGTTAGGTGTGGGACAGAGGGGAGACAGAGTGGAGGGTTTAACAATCTGTGTTTTTCCTGTACCTCCTGTTGCATATTTTTGGATGTTTTGTTAAACTCTATGTTAAGATTGAGCTAGATTGGTTTGAACCCCAGGATGCAAGACTGAGTGAGGTTGGCAAAAAAGGTTTATTAAAGCAAAAACAAAGGTGCTGACGTGGCAACAAACAAGAACAAGGGCTTTGGACAGGAACATCAACATCAAACAGAGAACAAGGATCTGACAAAGACTGAGGACAAAGGACAGAATATAAAGGAGGAACTAATGAGGTAAAACAAGAAACACCTGGGGAAGAAACATGAGGATCAGGTGTGAGTGGGCGGGGCTAGCGCAAAGGCAGACAGGAGGAAGAAAACAAAAGGAAAAGACAGAAAACATAGACTAAATCATAAGCACAGACACAAATCATGACACTCTAAAGAGTTTAAAGATGTCAATGACTCATTTTTTGCACACTGAGGGCCATTAATATGAATGAATGCTGTTTTTGGCACATGCTTCTCGGGTAAAGTTAGTGAAACCAACGACGTTTAGCCTGGCGGGGAGGCATGTAAAGTCTGACGGCCCACCACGCTGATAATACGCTAGGGAAAACCATGCATTATTTTAAAATTCCAATAAGCTGCATATCTGGTGTGAATGAAGCCCATTTTTCTAAACGCTTTTTTAGTTTCCTCACTTCCATTGTGCAAACAAGTGCAGTTGTTTGTAGCCTGGATCCTTTTAATTGCAGAAGTGTTTAATTATAGGCTTACTTGCTGTGTTTGGGTGGCTCAGCCTGTGTGTCTTACTAATAATGATATAAGGCTGAGAAGGCAGAGATATAGTGAGTTTACAGTCTTCCTGCAGTTACTTGGCATTAGCCCAAGGCGCTCTGAGAATACAAGATTAGGATAAACAAGAACGTTGGCATAATAAAGTTATCTTTTGATAAAGTGTATTATATACATTATGCTCACTGGCGAGAACAGGGTAAACACCCAGCAGGAATGTCCCAGTTTAAATGTAACTACACTACAGGCCAGTGACACTGCCTGAATCTTACATGAGACAGCATTATTGGTAGGGGGTCATGTTGTAGGTTTGCATGAAGAAGCTGAGTAGATTGTTGTGCAGATTGAGAAACAGACATAACACTGGCCTGATGTTAGAACCAACGGGTACACCAGGAGATTCACACAAGCCACACAACACCAAGGAAAGAATGGTTGTACACCAAGCATTACAGAACCCCATGACGTCTGCGCCTGCCATCTGGACACAGATATTGGACTCTTTACAACATCTTGTGTCATCCCACCCCACGTCTCAGTGACTGACGTTAGCCAGAKAATAAGTTCATTGTCTCGTACAGAGAATACCATTAACGCCAGAGCAAAGGCATTTCTAGTGGTGATGTAACTGTGAGGCATGGACTGATGACAAGTGGTGTTTTGTTAATCAAGCTGGATGAACATATACAGTATGATCATTATGTGCCCACATGGTGGCACAGAGATGGGAGGACCAATTTTACCAACATTGTTGAGAGACACAGCAGTATTACTTCTGGCATCATGGTGTGGGAAGCTATAGGGTCCATCCYTCCATCTGTCCATCAATTATCTTGCACTTGTTCCAGAGTGGTGTTGTGAGGGGCAGCAGATTAAGCAGGGAGACCCCTACATCTTTTTCCCCAGCCAGTTCTTCCGGGAGGAGTTGTTTCCAAGTTGTTTCCAGGCCCTACAGGGGACATAGTCTCTCCAGTGTGTCCTGGGTCTTCCCCTGGAAACTCCTGCCATTTAGACATGCCTGGAGCACCTTCTTAGGCACGKGTCCAGGAGGTYTCTTTACCAGATGCTCGAACCACTTCAACTAGCTCTGGTTCTCACCCTACCTCTAAGAGAGAGTCCAGCTAGAGAAAACACATTTCGACCACCRGTATTCYTTATCTTGTTCTTCCAGTCTCTACTCAAAGTTCATGGCCATAGATGAGAGAAGAAACAGACTGACCAGTAAACAGAGAGCTTCACCTTACAGCTCAGATCCCTCTTCATCACAGTATGGTGAATATAGCCATAGGGTCCGATTCAGGTTATCTCTTATATCATTCAGGGGACCTTATTAACCTAGTGCTAAACTGGTGACATCCTGCATACACAGCACCTCCTGAGACGGCACTCTGGTGGAGTCTTTCAACAAGACACGTCTACACATGGCACGTGTCTGTGGACTGCCTGCATCATGTTGAGGTCCTCCTGTAGCCGATCCTGGATCGGCTTTGACACAATGCTGACCCAGAGACAATATGTCAGATCCTGAGGGACAGTTCCAACACCTGTGGGCTCACTCCACACTGGACTGCCACTTCTYTTTTATGAATATGTTTCATGGAACTTAAAGAGGATATTTTCATTTGCAGAACTTTATTTTAATTGTCGGAGGTCATTGCTTGTGTAAATTGAAGCACATGATTGGGCAAGTTTTCTACTGACTTGATTGCACCGCATTAATAAGTGAAAAGCTCTGCTTAATTACCCACATGAGCGTTCTCAAGACGCTGCAATCAGAAGGCTTTGGTGGTGCATAAATAGTCAAAGATAAGTTTCATCCTTTATTCAGCTAAAGATTGCTCTTTCATATATGCGTGTAAAAAGAAGCAACAGAGGATTATTAGTGTATGAGAATCTCTGTTGAAGGATGCTCAGCGTTTGTTTATGTCAGCGATGAATCAAGCGGCAGCTGTAAGCATTGGGGTTTCATAAAAAACAGTGGTTTGAGGAAGACCGGCTGTTGCAGCAAATCAATACCTCCACATCTTTAACTGCAGGTCTAATTCACCATGAGCTTTATTCTTGTGAACTTCTGTAGTGCTGACCTACGTGCCAGGCCCATAAGATTGGCAGTTGAGCAAAGAAGGCTGCTCTGTTGACGTCACATCTCACACGAATCTTGTAATTTTGGTTTTTTCGCTCCGTCAGTCACACCACTCTACACTGGAAGAGATGAGAGGGAGTGAGAGAAAAGTGTGGCTGCCTGGCACCCCACCAGGACAGGATGTGCAGCCGAGGCAGCATCAGAAAAGATCTCCTACTGAGAGTGCAGGCAGCCATTGGTCCATCTGCTCTCCCAGCTGAATCACTGTTCTCCAAATAGAAAGCTGCTGTCTCACCAATTTATATATCTCAATTTTCTTTCACACGCCTCCTTTGAGGTGTTATCTCAAGTTCAAAAATCATGTTTTCAGTACATGAAAGCACCTAATCTTTCCTTAAAGGGGCTACTTGTGAATTCCTGTGAGCTTTTAAGTAGAAAGTCTGTTGTGTGTTCAAAGAAAAAAATGTCTTCTCTCTTCTTGTATTAAGTGTTTTGTGTGATTTTTTTGTTTGTTTTAGATTTCTCTTCTTTGATCTTTCTGCTCAGGGTACCACCACAGCTTGCCCTCTTCTCCATACTCTACTGGTCCTGAGGGTCAAAGGTTACCTACGTCCGGGGCGTTATCATCAGAGTTTCTCAACCACGGTGTCCCTGTGAAGATTCTGCTGCTGGTGTGTAATGCTGCAGGAGCAGGCCAACAGACTGCCAGGTAAATAACACTGAATGACTGAACCCTATGCTCAACATGAGTCCATTTTACTAGCAGAAGAAATCCAAAGAGGCTGTTTGACAGCTTTATTAATCCTTCTGTTCCCAAAGCCTATGCAACAACTTAAAGGGATTATAATCATTGTTTTTTGTTTAAGGTCAGTGAAGTTGGGGCAAGCGTCTCTCCACAATCCTCTTTGAGACCCATCTCCTCACACACAGTCTTCCTTTAAACCAGTGACCACTCTGCTCTAGTGAATAAAATGAAGCCACCCCATCTGCTGATATTTTTCCAATTGAAACACTATTTGCCCAATTGTTCTGATCTCACTTTCAATAGGTGGGGTTCCTAGCTTTTTTAAACGTGCTGTTGTTGAACCAGTACTTAACAAACCCAACCTGGATCCAACAGAATTACCAAACTTCCCACATTGCAGACGGGTGCGGGCCAGACCTGGTGTCAATCCGGCGCTGCTGGCTGAGTCCTGACATGGCAAGTGTTCAAGTTCAAGTTATCTTTAATATCCGCATGGGGAAATTTGATTTGTCAATCAGTTGTGGGCCAGGTCTGCCAATGATGGCACCATTTTTAAGAAGGCCACAACTGGCCCAACTGTGGTTTGGTGTATGTGGCCCAAGTCTGCCAATGTCACCATTGGCTGGGTTGTGTTTTGGTTTTCATGATACCGGCCCATGCAAGACCCACCTCTGGCAAACTAAAGTACATTTGGGCCCCAAATGTTCGTCATTCTTTGCGGTATCTGCGCCATTTGTTAGAAAGTTGGTGCATTGTGTGGGTCAGAACTGGGCAAGACAAATTTTGCTGTTGGGGTTCAGGCCAATATCCAAAGTACCATTTTTATTGAAATTAGTAGAAAAATTTATGGCAGAGTAGTTTTTCTATTTTTTTTATTTATTCCACAAAAACTATTACCAATGACGTTTTGATGTCAGCTGATTCAGGGCACTACATAATTCTGGTCCTACTGGACCTGTCTTCCGACTTTGATGCTGTTAATGACAAGATCTTAATCAACAGACCTCAGAGTCAGATTGGGTTACCTGGTTCTGTCCTCAAATGCTTCTCATTGTTCTCATTGTACATGTCAAACCTGTCTGATGTCAGACACTGTCAGGCTTTCTTGTGGTGTACCACAGGGTTCTGTTTTGGGACATTTTATGCTTATTCTTTATGTCCTCCCCCTTGGGCAGGAATTCAACAGTTTAGGAAAGTGGACTTCAAAAAGTCAAGATAAAACTAAAACTCTGGTTATTACCCCTGAAAATAAGATGTCTCAAATTAAACAGTACTTTTATGTCTTTCTGTTCAGTCCATCCTCAGAAACTTGAGTCATTTTTGATTCGTCAGTGTCTTTAAAACAACACATAAAACTAGAAACTGTCTCTTCCATCTCAGGAACATCTCAAAARTGAGAAGTTTCTTGTCAAAAACTGAACTTGAGATGATCATTTGTGTTTTCATTTCTTCTTGTTTGTACTGCTGTAACATCTTATTTACGTGTTTAAACAAGAAGGAGCAGGATGTCTTCAGGTTTTCCAAAACTCAGCTGCAGGAATGTTAACCCACATAAACAAACAGGCTCACATTACACCTCTTTTAGTTTCCCTTCAAATAGCTTCCAGTTCATTTAACAGTTCATTTACTGTAGGTAACAGACACACACAGGCATTTACATCATTGCTGGTGACAGTAAACCTAAAACTAAGACAGGTAAAACTAAAACTGACCACTTTAAAACAACTGTATATGTTTTATTTGTAGTTTTCTTCAAATGTAGACCATAAAAGTGTGTTTAGTTCCTCGTTATATAAACCCAACCTGACATTTTGCTTTGTGAAGTAACTCAGAGATATTAGTTCTAAATCCATCAACCAAGGACTGACACCTGCCTGTTTGTAGAGATTCATCACACAGCGGCTTACAGACAGGGTTCACAGAGATCAATAGAGGTCAGCTGACCAGCATGGCTGTGAGAAAGTTTGATCTCATCCGCGAGGGCTGTGTCTCACTTTCTCCTTCAAACACCTCTCTGTCATTGCTCAAACCGCCCACACACCTCTCTCTCATCAGATGACAGCTGGCGGGCCGCTCCGTGCCAAGAAAATGACATTGGAGTCACATACTTCAGCTCCTCACTCTGAGCTCTTTGTAGAAAATAATCACAGGTGCATCACTGAAAACCAGCGGGGAACACTCCGTTTTGTTTAGACCTCTGAAGTGTGAAACCACGTTTTTTGTGGAGAACAAACCCAAATGTTGATTATTTCTTTGTCTTCTCTTATGAATCAGGTTTGTGCAGTGGCAGCACCCAGACTCTGGAACAATCTGCCCATTGATATTCATACTGCTGAATCTATAGTCTTTTAAATCCCGCCTGAAACATCTTTACACCGAATTTTAATTGAGTTGAGTTTGAGTTCCATCAGAATTTACAAGTTTAATATTTTCGTGTTTTAGTTTGTTTTTAGCCTACTTTACTATCCAATTTTTTTCAAATTTATTTTGATTTTGATTCTTCCTGTTTGTTTTTAACCTCCATGTGAAGCACTTAATCATGAATGTTGTTTTTAAATGTGCTATATAATTAAAATTGACACAGACATAAATGAATCTGTGATGTTTTACTTGTTACACCGGCAGGTAGAACACTAACCTGAAAAGATACAAAAATAGTTCTAAGTCTGTCAGTTTTGCAGATATTAGGCTGAAATTTGGTGTGGTTGTCCCTGAGACTGATAATCAAAAAATATCTTGAGCATTTGCAGATTGCACAGGATCTTTTATTAAAAGCATTGCTAATAAACATTTGTAGCCAACTCTGTCTGTTAGAAAAATTTCTCATGAACCATTGGTCAGAACTGAATAATCAGGTCAATTCAGGATGGCTGCTACAGCCAAATGAATTAACAAACCACAAAACTGCCTATTATTTTAATTAATTGAATATTGTGATAAAAATGGGTGTAGCTGTAGCTGACAGTTATTCACAATCAGTACTCCAAGTGATACACATTATACTGGCATTGCTTAAAACTTTAGCATTAACTGTTTGTCTGCTAACAAAATACCTTATGAACCACTGGATGGATTGAAAGGACATTTTTAGGACGTGAACAATGAATTTGAAAATACAGCTGAATAACTTTTGGAATCAGTCCAGTTCAAGATAACCACAGCAGCTACATTAGGCTACATAAAATGACTATAACTCAGTTTAACAGATATTGAGCTGAAATTTGATTTAATGGTAGATGAGATTTCTCTATAAACTTTGTCTGAAACTCTGCTATGAAAGACAGCATAATGTTACTTTGTAAAAATATATATATAAAGTCAGGCCTGCAAAAGTGTTTATTTATCTTAAATATTAGAGCACAAAATGATGTTGTGTTTTTGTTCCAGTGCAGCTAAATAATGAAAAATTTACATCATTTTGCTTCTTTGTTTTACTTGAGACCATCTTTTTCTCTACTGATGAATCCCCCCACATGCGACACAAAATGTTTAGTGTTGCAGTTTTCTGGTTTGTTTCCATAAACTAAGCAAGTTTTTAAAAGCCAATAAATTGCATTGAAATAAAGTATAAAACATATCTTTGTGTCTTTATGTCCCTCTTTTCTTTGTTGCTTGTCCTCCTGTTCTGGTACTAATAAACCTCAGGAACACGGGGGACGGCTGCTCTCAATTAGACGTGTATTATAATAGACATGTCGTGATGCGAGGTCTCAGAGATCGTTCTCCTTCTCCTCATCAGACATTTTGACTCCTTATTGTCCTCTGTCCTTTCACAGATACCGTGTAATGAGACTTGTGCCCACAATGATCATAAATAATGATTTATGTTGGAGTATAGGAAACACTGGGCTGATGTGTTTTGGTTAAGTTGTGGGACTGTGGAATCTACAATCTGCAGCTTTGTGACACGAATTCCCTTTTTCTGTGTTGAAGGTTTGGACCTCCGTTCTTAATGAGGGAGGATCGGTCTATTTCCTGGGACCAACTCCAACAAAGCATCCTCAGCAAGCTTTATTACCTGATGATCAATGGAGCTCCAGCTCAGGTAGTCAAAGTCTGTTAACAACCATGTGACACTAACAAGTTTGGTTCATTTGTCTGGAGCATTAGTAAAATATCTTACCAACAAACAAACATCTACAACTAAATAACTTCTGGAGCCAACCTATTTCAAGATGGACGCCACAGCCAACTGACTTGACAGAAATTATTGTTAAGTCAGCCACTTTTACAGATAATGAGCTCAAATTTGGTGTGGTAGTAATTGAGAGTCATTGTTAACACAGTCTGAGAGCTAGTAAAGACTCCGAGACCTCATGTGAGATTGTGTAATAATGTCATTTGTGAGGTTCTAAGGTTTGATAAAAACAGCTACACATCCTTCTCTTCTCAACACAACATGATTTTAGTATTTTAGTTTAAAACTCTGGCGTGAAAGGATGAAAGGCGGTGGGCGTCATTCACACACCTTCAAGGGGTGCTAGGCCTTTAATCTAATTAAGCGTTTTAATAAGAGGACAATAAATGTAATTTTCCTTGAGGCTAGTTTTAATGTCCATGTGTGTGTGGGTGTGTTTTGAGCACCGCCTGGAGCTGGGACACGGCTCCCTCCTGCCAAGCTGGCTGGTGCACCTGTTCTTTAGCAGGTTTATTGGTCCGTGACACAGAGGAGCACGCCCGCACAGTAACGCTGTGTTTCACTGGTGGGAAAAGAGCTGCACTCATTGATGCACCAAACAGAGTCAGGTGAACTGATTTGGGATCACGTCATGCTGCAGTGTAGGAACACACACAAAACGCTCTGCGAAATGGAAAATGCACATTTTAGTTATTTGACTAACACATGAAATGCTCATATTTCACCACTGGCCAGGTTTCTTGCTTAAATCAGCTGATGTTGAAGAGTTAGTACGTAGAGGCTTACTTTAAGGATATTAAAAAGTGTTTATGTTCTGTACAAGTTATGCTATAAAAGACTATAAAGTCCATTCAAAAAGTACATCAAAATGTGAATATCAGCCTGAAATGGTGTGTTCTGATTTTTTGTAACAATACATTATTTTATGCTTCCATTTATCAGTTTGCTACAACATGTTGGTTTTGTGGTGGAACTAATACTTTTAGAACAAGATTTGATACAAGGTCAATGGAAAACAGAAAGATAAACACAAGTGATATCTAAGAATGACTGTTGTTAGCAAATCTTGTTCTGACTTTAATCATTCTGTCTGCAGATGAACAGTGTGTCATGAAAACCTAGGTCATTAAAGGATGTCATGAATTACTGGCTTAAACATAAAAGTTTTAGTTCCACCACACTTTCATAGTAATTTGTTTAAAAACTTAACTTTGAAAGAAAAAAATATTAAAACATAAAATAAAAAATTTCACGACCTTCATTGACCCTCTACATCAGTCAAAGCTTAAATAGGGTCACAGAAAAATGCATTTTAATGTATTCTTACAGTTTATTCCCCTATCCCAAATTCTTTTTTTTTTGTACTTTACATAAAAAAGTAAATGTCTGTTAGAATTTCAGGCAGTAGCTGTGTTAGCGCCCTTCAACATTTCTTCAGAAGTGCTACTACATTATATAAATGCAGACATTAGAATCTAATATTGTTTGACTTGGCCTATCCGTCTAAAAAAAATACCAATGATAATAAACGATTTGTTTGTTTTACCATTGCTGATGTCAGTATGATAAACTATGGAAATGATGAAAAGAAATGCAAACAAACTGTGGCTCGCTGTTCTCACACTCAAATCAATAATTTACTCCTCTGAAGACAGAAGATGAATTTTCTCGGCATGTTTGTGTCGTCTTAGTTGCTTCGACTGAACACATCCTTGTGTTTTCACATGAATAAGTTTAGTAGCAGGTGACTGACTCTGCACCATGTTTATCTCTGCCTGGATCCCGATGACACCCATGCTGCTTTATTGGAAGTAAGTTGTCAACTCGATCACTTTTTGCTTTCTGCGACAGGAAGAGAAGAGGCAGGTGTAACATGCTCCCTGCCACAGTTTGTGTTCTCCTGTTTCCTTTGTGCTCCCTGCCAGCAGACATTTAATTAAAACCGGGGCTCATAAAGAATAATCGGTTTGCCTGCGCCCACCAGTGCCAAGAAAGGGAGCGACGACCGGAGCAGATTTTTTGCTCCAAACCTTTCATCTCAGCAGGAAATGTTGCTTTCTCTGTCCTTATTACATGGCTTTTTTCTCTTTGACCTGAATTTAGTTTCAGTAAAGATGCAATTCTGTAATAAAAAGGTGACATTTGACAATTCTTTTTGCTGCTATTAGCATCACTTACCTCTGAGCAGACAAGATAAAATGCTTTTTGGGGGAGGTGGGGTGCACTGTTTTTTTCTCGCCTTACATTACTTTTACTTTTATACTTGAAGTAGTTTTAAAACCAGTACTTTTATACTTTAACTTGAGTAAAGAGCTTGAGTTGATACTTCAGCTTCTGCAGAAGTATTTTAAAACCCTTTGTGAATATCCTGATTCATCTCAGTAATCCAGGTAAAAAAAATCAAAAAGAAAAAAAATTGTATAGGTCTTCTGGACGGGTTCTTCTTTAATG